TGTGTGTGCGCGTGCGTGTGTGTAAAATTTACCTCAGACTTCCGTTATAAGCTGTTCTTTCCTCCTTTCATCATGCAGCATTTGAGTGATAGCATTGTTTTTATCTTTGTTGATTTAGATGGTTCTTCGCAGAACAGTCTCAGAGTACTTGCTGAATATTTAATGGGATAGTATTTGCAGCTTGTGCTGCAGTTGGAACATGTTTGTCAGCTGTGTGGATGATAAAACCAATGACAATCCTTAAGCAATTTAACAATCACATTTCTCATGCTACTCTATTGATTATTCTAATAATTCTTAGAAGCTATTTCCTATGGTGTCTGTTTTATTATTATATTGCAGGGTTTGGAACATAATTAACCATTAGAGGGAAGAAATATTGCTTTATCACTACTTGTGGATATTTTTTATAGAGCTGCAGCTAACGATTATTTTCAAAATCGATTAGTTAGCCGATTATTAGGTTCGATTAATCGGTTAATCGGATAAACAATAAAATAAAGTTTAAAAAAAGGCTCCAGTGATGGGACTATTAGTTTGTATTGAGGTTGTAGTCCATCACAGGAGCAAGCTTGGAGCGGTGGAAGTAAAAAAGAAAGATAGTGTGGTGTGCAATATAGTGAAATGGAAAGTGTAAAATTATACAGCAATGAATGCAGAATACCACCAGCTATAGAGGAATACAACAAATCCCAGCAATAGTACATAATAGCTGGAGGCATTCTGCATTGCGCTGTATAATGTACTATTACTGGGTTTTGTCGTCCTCTATAGCTGGTGGTATTCAGCATTGCACCACTGTATAATGTATTATTGCTGGTATTTGTAGTCCTCTATACAGCGCAATGCAGAATATCACCAGCTATAGAGGAGTACAACAAATCCCAGCAATAGTACATTATAGCGTGCAATGCAGAATATCACCAGCTATAGAAGAGTACAACAAATCCCAGCAATACATTATACATACAGTGTATAATGTATTGCTGGGATTTGTATTCCTATGTATAATATACAGCACAATGTACCATCAGCTATAGAGGAATACAAATCCCAGCAATACATTATAGAGTACCATGTGTGGGAAAGTGCATGCTTACCTGAGCAGTCTTCCAGCAACTTGCTTCTGAGATCGGGCCTGTCTATCGGCGGCTGTCATCCCCCCACACCTGCTCCTCCTTACTACATCTCCCCGCGTCCCTGTGCCGATCGTGGATGTGGGTGGGCGGTGAGTGTGCGGCGTGTGGAGCATGGATGCGGGCGGGTCTGGCAGCGGCGAGCGTGAGGTGGGGAGGAGGTACGGCGCACAGCGTGTGGAGCTGTGAACAGGGCCAACTGATCGGAAGCCGATTAATCGATTATTGAAAAAGTTGACAACTTTTTCAATAATCGATTATAATCGATTATGTCGATTAGTTGTTGCAGCCCTAATTTTTTAACACTGCTGGCAAGCACCAAGAGAATCAATTAAAAAATAATATCTTATGAATACTCTTCTTCACTTCTGGTCGGTCATTCACTCGGCTGCCCTCGGCAGCATAGTGAATAGACCCCAATAATGTTACATTTTCTATAGAATACCTTTTCATTTTTCTGTCACCCAAATTCACAATGGGAATTAAATGTATTCATCATCTTAACCCTTTTGGCAGTTGCTTATATCAACGGTTTAGAGCATGACTGACCAGGAACGGTGTTCCTATCAGGAAAGTGAGCATTTTCTTTCAGTTGGTGCTTGCATTAAATGGTGCTCATATTTCCTCAGGTGCTGATTTTGCCTGATATGGACACATTTCACTGAGACTTTCCCTTTGTGAAGAGTAGTTGGAAATTCTGGTTTGGCATTATTAACACCTAGGGCACAGCATATAGTTGGCCTACTACAATACAGCATGATGGTTCCAGAAAGGGGCAAAGAAACATGCTCATGGTGTGGAGTAGATCATGTCACTGCTGTCCTTTGGCATACAACAACACAACATAATGGTTCCAGAAAGGGGTTCAGCAACATGCTCATGGTGTTGAGTATATCATGTCACTGTTCCCCTTTTAGTCGACTACAATATACATAATGGTTCCAGAAAGGGGTGAAGAAACATGCTCATGGTGTTGAGTAGATCATGTCACAGCTTCTCTTTTGGCCTACAACAATACAGTTTAATGGTTCCAGAAAGGGGTTCAGAAACATGCTCATGGTGTTGAGTATAAAATGTCACTGCTTCTCTTTTGGGCTACTACAATGCAGCATAATGGTTTCATAAAGGCATGAAGAAACATGAGTGTTGAGTATATGGGGGTGATTTACTGACCTAAACACACACACACACACCAGGTGTGTGTGATTTTCACACAGCAAAACGTATTTATCAACCAAAAGGTCTCTAAAAGCATATTTCCACTAATGCCATATATGGGAAAATCATGCACATGATGCATATATAATGCTGCTTCACAGTTTAGACAAAAATGGTTAGCTCATGCATTTACATTCCTTGCATTCATCAACGCAAGCAACTAAACATAGAGCTAATTTACCCAACATCACCTTGGAATTCATTCAGGGCTTTGCACAACACACTTGCTGGGTGTGTACACATTACAAAGGTGTTTAGATTCCACCCATAGATCATGCTGGGAGGGAACACACTGCAGAGGTGTATACACATTCGTGGTGTGTTTATAAGGTTAGTAAATCAACCGCCATGAGTCAAAAACTGTTATTGCCCTATAAGTTTTATATATGTACCATAAAAGGTAACATGGTCCTCTAGTTGCACTGGCACATAGCCTACATATCCTGTAATATAAACAACTATCAATACATTTTGATTCCCCTGGTACCTGAAGCTATTCTGTACATGCATAAAGAACCACTGTCATAAACATTGTTATAACTATATGTGGTAACTATATGCATTTCATACTGGCAATGACAGAATTCAGTATATGAATTCCTTTTTTTATTTCACCTGTCTTTTCTCATATTTGTCTCCACATTTACCTGCAGGCCAAATTGTCCAGCAAAAGTGACATTGACAGGGTTTGGAACAAACTATAAAACTACCAGTACTTTTTATAAAGGTCACATTTTATTCACATGGTTTACAATTTCTTTTATTAAAAAACAACCGGTGCTGCAAACGTTTAGCTCCCCCCCCCCGCAGGCAGTATCAGTTTTTTTAACCAGTATCAACAACATTGTTTCTGAACACTTTGGGCCGCAGGTACATTATAGAAAAATATGAATAAAGACACATGTCAGCAAAAAGCTATTTAAAAATCACCATTACACATAATAACCCAGTATTAAGTTTCTTTTTGTGATACTGGTCCTTCCTAGTTTATTTTATGGATTAACTTAATATTGATGCAGGCATCAGAATGCAATCATTTTTGCTATGTTGGTCTTTCAAGGTCTAATTGCATTTCGTAACCCAATATTAATGCAGATATCAGACTTTAAACCTTTTTGCAGTACTGGTCCTTTAAGGGCTCATACCTACTAACACAAGTTGCTCAAGAGCATCCAGCATCCTTGTCACTCACAGCATTTCCCTGGTACTCCATGTCCTCTCCATAAACTGAAGGCAAAGCCATGCCCACTGGAAACGGTGTTGAATACTGAGTTATTCAACTTTGCCCCATGTTTGAAGGGAGCTCAATGGGCAATTTAAATATTAACAGGGTTATTCACTAAGCTGCCAGAGGCAGCCAAGTGAATAACTGAGCCGTAGTGGTGTGCCGAACAACGTTTGGCTACTCACTACGGCTCATTACAGCTGATTTCAGCCACACATCGGCTGAAATCAGCCGTACATCAGCTCCCTTCGGCTGCAATTCAGTCAGAGCATGTTCTGCTGAGCCGAAGAGCAGAAAGAATTTGACTCAGCTAATCCAACATCTGGATTGGCTGAGCCAAAACTTTGCGAATAGACCCCAAAGTCCTTAGAAAGCAGCCATACTTTGTTAGAATACATTTAACCAGGCCTGTACAGTACATTTTAATCTTAAGACGCGCTTTGCAAATCTACTTTCATTTAGTAAAGTTTAGCTTGAGATGTTAGTGATAAAAAAACCTTTAAGTAGATATAATCCCTAAAAGATCGGCATTTTAATATTTGTAACTCAAATACTGATATTACTTTTTTCAACTTTTGTTACATCTCAGTTTTGCTGGTCCCCTGCAGCCTATTTGCAGCCACTACATGTCTACATGCATGTGCTCCAGCAAAAGCTTCATGGCATTTCTCAGGGCGGGTTTTCTAATGGTGGCAACAGAGAATCAGGCTTGCTTAATTTGTATTGAAAGGGCCACAAGTGGTCATTGGAATTCCATTAGACATGGCAATAACAATGGAGCGGGGGCCACAAAATAATAGGAAGTTCCTAAACAAGGACCTTCATTGCTGGATTATTTTAATGAAAGCTGCAGATTTAAAATATTCAAATCATTTTTGAAATTATATTAATATGATAACGTTTATATGATACAGTATTTTAGTGACTGGGTTTACATATACTTGTAACTAAAAAAATACAGTACTTAAACTTATGTAGACAAAACAATATGTCATAATGCAATTAAACATAGTCCTGTTTACACTGTACAATGCATTTAGATGAAAAATTGCTAAAATTTCCAAAGCATAGTTTAATGTTTTTCATTTCTTTTACTCCATTTAGAACGGTTCAATGTGTATCTCATGCCCACACCAAATTTAGACATCTATGGAGAGTGCACAATGCAGATCACACATGAAAATATCTACCTGTGGGATATTCACAACGCAAAAGTAAAGCTAGTAATGTGGCCTCTAAGCTCTTTAAGAAGATATGGCAGAGACTCAACATGGTTTACTTTTGAGTCCGGAAGGTAAGAAGGCATTTTTGTTTTCAATCTTATTTTAACATGCAAGACTTTTTTTGATAATTGCTTAAATGAACCAATTACTAAATAGATAGAAATACATCATAATATTAAGCACAGGTATATAAAGCAGACCTAGCATCAGATGTATTTTTTATGTTACATGAAGGCATGCTATGTAATGTGTTTCTCTAACACTAAGGACCCTGTTCACACCATTGATCGCACAATACTATGGGGGGAATTTATCAAAACTGGAGCAGTTGCCCATGGCAACCAATCAGCATCTCTCTTCAGTTTGCTCAGTTGAGATTTTAAAATGAGAGATAGAAGCTGATTGGTTGCAGTGCAAATCTGCTCCAGATTTTGTCTTCTCCAGTTTTGATAAATTCCCCTCAGTGTGTTTAGTGCTGCACTGCAACGCACGGCCACCGGGAGATGAATGGTAATGCAACACACCTAGTGCACCATACTGCAGGCTAGGCGTGTTGTCTGATAACCTGTGCTGAATGCACGGTGTTGTGCAATTAACGTTACGTTATGGTGTTACGGCCCTTGGGTATTTTTATACCAGTATTCCCCTTGACAATGCTTTCCTCTATCAACATCCTTTTTTTGGTATCTTGCAGAACCATCATCTTCATCCTGGACTAAATGTGCCCATAACCATTAGATGACATTAGGCCGAAATCACAAAGTTACAACACCAGAATGAAGTTCTTATTTTTGAAAATGTTAAACATTTTAATTTGAGTCCAATAATATTTCAAAATTATAGTCACATGATTCAAAATAATGATCATTATGCTTGTGAGAGCTCTGTTTTCTTGATCTCACTTTTTCTGACCAGATTTGGTGTTGATTCAATGTCTATGGAGTAGTATCGAATTAGCGTTCTAGAGGAGCAAAGTAATCAGGCATGCCAGAAAACATTACTCAATTGATGTGGTTTTCCTACTTGGACTGTCTTCCACTCCTTCCTCTTTTGCCCTAAACAGGAGGTCTCTTGGGTCTGAGCAATCCTGTTCAGTGCAGAAACAAGCCACAAAGACATTGTGAGATGGTCATATCATTTCACAGTTTTTCCAATATTCTCCTCCCAGGAAGAACTTGAGACACCATGCCTAGAATCTGTCACTTGACTGTTACATGTCAGGAATGTTTTCAAGTAAATTTGTGTAATTTCTGAAAGGTTTGCAAATGAGAGTGATAGCTAGGAAAGGATCTTGGGGGTGTAAGAAAACATGTTAATTTAATCTGTTGTTATGAATGAAAACTGAACTAGACCCTTAGTATTATTGGTATCATTAGTAAAAAATGTTTGTTTGTTTTTTGCAAGAGTGCTGTGACATGAATTAAATGTCTGAATCTAAAGATGGAACATGATGGAGCCTGAAATATTTTGTAAAAGCGGAGCATTTTACAAAAACATATGCCAGCGATGTGAATGTTTATAAGTAAACCTCTGTTCATTTAAAAGAAAGATGGTTCTTTGGTAAAAAGAATTATCACTTGTCATAAACAAGCTTTAGTAGTGACTTATATATGACATTCCGTTTGCCTGGTAAAATTGCTGACTCTTCTAAATGCAATTTAACCAAATTGCCTTTGATATTGTTCTAATCACACACAATCCACTTCCATGCTGCCATGAAGTTTGGGACAGGTATTGTTCCCAAATCATCTTTTGTCTTTGACTTTTGTTTGTTTTTGAAGTAAGATTTTTAATCTTTATTTTCGCTTTAATCATTTTATTTTATTTTATAGCTAGTTATTGATAAAAATTGATAACATAAATTGCATGTAGTATTTTCAGCTGGTCGGTGAAGCAAATACTTAATTTAATTTAGAAATTAATTTTGGATTAAAAAAAATAACAAATTTCTCCTTCTCTAATGTCACTTTGCTCCAATGAACGAATTAACAAAATGAATAAGAAACGAAAAGGAAACGAACGTTCGACCGAACTACCACTAATGAATTTCAGAAATGGAAATTCAGATTCGTTTGCATTTGTTATATCTGTAATTCGGAATTCGGATACATCCGAATGTCCGTATTTCCGAAAATTCGTCCGAATTTCGATTCGGAACGAAACGAATCGCACATGTCTAAAATATATACTCATTTACAAACCTTTTGTTTTAAAAAATACATTGTATTATGAACTTCATGTGCATATGAACCAAAACTTTTACTTTTTTTTAAAGTAGTGAGGGTAGAACCCCTGTTAGGTTTTTATTACTTAGATACAGTCTAACAAATGCACCAAACAAATGTTCAATAGTGCAATGTTTTTGTTTAGAATTTTGACTGTGCGTAAATGAGATCAAATAAGAGAATACCAGAGAATCTCTCCAATGGGACACAGATGGCAAAAAAATCTGATAAGAGTTTTATCTATTACATGCTGTATCCAGGAATAGAAAAAAACGTTTTGGCTTTAGATATACTTCAATGCCAAAAATAAGGCTTTTATTCAAGTTAAAATGTTTCTTAAGTTGAAAAAATTTTAATTTCCTAAAATAATGATCAAATTGTTTTAAAACTAAGAATTATAATTTGTTTAGTTCTTTTTCACAATATTAAAGCAGCAATAATGTGTCATTAGTGGGGTGATGTCAGTTTCCTGTGCCACTCTTAATATTCCTCTATGTCTTCTCTGTTAACGTCTCAAGTTCTGCTTCAAAAGGTTCTACAACTGCTGCTTGTTGCACCTTATTGGCATACATTTCATGGTGGCAGCCTGTTATTTGATATGTGTTATCTTTTTTTTAAATTGATTTCATTACCAGTGAAGAAACTGTAGCTACAATGGGTAAACAAGCTAGCCCACAGTAGATTTTCGGATTTTCCTGTATTCCAGCAAGCTAAGCTGGAAACATAAAATGTAGAATCAATTTTAGGCATGTGCCTTTATGATATGCTTAGTCTGCATGAACATGTTATAACCAAGCTATAAGCAGAATGATCTCATAGGTCAAAAATACATACTAGATAATAAATGCTATGCAAAGTACTGCATTGTGATGTGAAATTTGGCAGACAAGTGCTTTTGAACTCAGGATAGCATGATTCTTCAGCACTCAGAATCCCCCTTTTATGTAATGTATTTTATAGAAAAGCACAAGACAGTGCCAAATCTCCTATGGCATGGGTAACACACACATTTAATTACATACATTATACTGCTCAGATGAATATTCCTTTTTGGGGGGCAGCACAAGTAGGAGTTTCTCTGTAAACTATGGGGTCTATTCACTAAGCTGCCGTAGGCAGCCGAGTGAAAGAACGACCTTAAGTGAAGTGAGCCGAACGCTGTTCGGCTATACACTTCAGGCTGGTATGGCTGATCTCAGCCGTATATCGGCTGAAATCAGCCGTACATCGCGTGGCTTCACGTGGCTTCGGGTCGGCCGAACATGCTCAGCATGTCCGGCCGACCCGAAGTGCAGAAGGAGTTCAACTCAGCCGATCCAACATCTGGATCGGCTAAGCCGAACCTGCGGCACGCTACTCGATGCTGTTCGGTCTATTCTTATAGATGCCGAACAGCAGTGAGTGAGTAGCCGAATGCCGGAGCCGTGTCAGAATATAAAAAATTAAATAAAAAAAATGTTTGCCCATAGGATTGCATTGCTAGATTCCTATTGGCTATTTCAATTTGCAATAGCCAATAGTAAACTGGCATTGCACCCACCCTCTGCTGCAGTTCTCCATCAGGTCCATCAGCAGAGAACGGGTGCAATGCTAGTTTACTATTGGCTATTGCAAATTTAAATAGCCAATAGGAATCTTGCAATGCAATCCTATGGGCAATTTTATTTTTCTATTCTGACACGGCTCCGTGTCAGAATAAAGAAAGAAAAAAGAAAAATCAGTGTATCTATCCTTGGCGGCCGGGAGCGGGGAGACTCCCGGAGCGCCCGGGAGAGTTTGCTGTCTGGAGATCAGTGTCCCTGGTTAGTTGGTAACCAGGGACGCTGATCTCTCTGCAAGATCACGGCTAGCTCCGCCCAGCTGTCAGAAGCAGGCTGTCGCTCGGCCAGCTTCGGCTTTCAGCGCGGCTCAGCCGAGCCGAGGCATATGCGTTCTGCTCGACTGAGCCGCTCGGCTAAGTTCGGGAGCTGTACATGAAAAGCTATTGTGAATAGCCAGTACAGCAGCCCTATGGTTCTACTGAACCGAAGGGGTCCTGGGGCCGAAGCTAGCTGAAGGATCGGCCAAAGCTATGGCTGCTTCGTGAATAGACCCCATAATGTACACAATGGCATGCACAGTGGAGGGCTGGACTTTGGAGAGTTGGTCTGCATGGCATCTGAGGTGGGGGGGTGCATTTACTACTTATGTGGAAAGGGGAAAACATTTCCAGCTTTTTTCTTAAACGTAAAGTTGAATCTTATGTCTAAGCCTGGAAAAAGTAGGTCAACTGTACCCTGCTCCCAAGAATTACCCATTTTCTGAGGCACCCTTCAGAAACACTTGGATGTCACTGCTAGCTCTGCCCAATTGTTTATATTTTGACGGCATCTGTCAGATTCTTCATTCAGCGGTGGGAGTTCATCGAGTGTGGTTGGGTCAGCAGTCTTAATTTTTTTTTAAAGTTTTTATTTTATTTTGCCGAGTCATCGTCAACATGGACAACTCTGGATCACGATTACGTCGTCGGATCATTTTTTTTGTTTTTTTTAATAAAGGTCTTGTCAAAAATTCTTTGTTGTGTTTTTATTTCAATTAAAATATTTTTTATTAAGGTCTGGTCTTTTCATTTATCTTTTATTTAACCCTTTAGTGAATGGGTGGGGGTACAAGTACCCCTTAATAATTCACAAGGGGAAGGCCGTATCTGGGTGCCCCTTTATTAAAGGGGTACTTCAATGCAAATAAGCCCCCCTGCCTACAGACCCCCACAACCAACACCCCCAGGGCTTGTGGGGAAGAGGCCCTTGTCCCCATCAGCATGGGGACAAGGTGTTTTTCCAGGGGTGACCCTGGAAAAGCACCCT